ACTTATTTTTACCGCTCTTCGCATCGGCTACATGTATTTTTTTCAAGTTTTGATTGGTTGACGAGATTGCCTGTGTTCTTTGTGAACTGTGTGAGTGATTTCTTTGGTTTTGGACACTCAATTGAAAACCTCTCTGAACTCTCTTTATACAGCTTGACTTAAAACTATTATTCTTAGGATGGAATGACAACTTTCCTTTGTGAAAGGCTCTTTGTTATTATTTTTAACAGGATGCCGACCAACACACCACAGGTCGAAAAGAGCCCAGGAAATAGGAGACGGTATGCTGTTAGTGTAGACGTTTTAGGGGCATTTTATCCAATCAAGTTATTGTAGTGAAACATCCAACACGCTATGCTAGTATCCTTTAATTGAAGCCACGAAATGTACAACTTAAACGGTGAAACCGATGAAGGCGGTGAAAGCGATTAAAAGCGAGCGGTTGCTACAAACAAAATAAATTACAAGTTCTGAATGAATACAGTAAACGAAACAGAAATAACGAGCCAAAGGTAGAGGATACTAACAAACGTTGTATGACTAGGACGGCTAAGAACACGATAGAGGAAAGCTGGGAAGACGGTCAATTGAAATAAGATGACTGTAACGTCGCGATGGAAATGCAGAAATACACTAGAAAAACGCATACAAAAAGGGACTTAAACAAAAGGAAATTATCCGAAGAAACCTGACAGAATATTGATTACGTGAAAGCGGCGAAATAAACGGAAAGAATGTGATGATGACGAAGAGAAAGCGCGTACAAACGGAAAAAATAACAAAAGAATTAAATGCGGCTACACGGCGGTAACACAAGTTTCAAGCTCAAGCCTATTGTTCACTCAATTTTTTTTTTAAATTTTATATTTCTCGGTTCTTTTTTGTTGGCTACTTAATGCATGCAAGCTGGATTTCTTTGGTCTGTTACATGCTCTCTAGCAGAAAGCTAAAATACTAAACTCACGTGTTAGCGAAATTGCATATAGTAATCACGTGACTCGTTTAGACCAATGGCACGCTAGCGGAAATATTTGATGGATCATAACGACAGTTATTGGCATTTCCTTTGGCTTAACTCATGTGCATTCTTTTTTTTTACTGCTCTTCGCATCGGCTACATGTATTTGTTTCGAGTTTTGATTGGTTCAGTGGATTGTCTATGTTCTTTGTGACCTGTGTGAGTGATTTCTGTGGTTTTGGACACTCAATTGAAAACCTCTCTTAACTCTCTTTATACAACTTGACTTAAAACTATTATACATAGGATACAATGACAAATGCTTTCTTGTGTTAAAGGCTCTTTGTTATTATTTTTAACAGGATGCCGGCCAACAAACCACAGGTCGAAAAGAGCTCAGGAAATAAGAGACGGTATGCTGTTACTGTAGATCTTTTAGGGGCGTTTTGTCCAATCAAGTTTCAAGCTCAAGCATATTGTTCACTCATTTTTTTTTTTTTTTGATTTTATATTTCTTGTTTTTTTTCTTGTTGACTAATTAATGTACGGAAACTGGATTTCCATGGTCTGTTACATGCTCTCAAGCAGAAAGCTAAAATACTAAACTCACGTCTTAGCGAAATTGCAGATAGTAATCACGTTACTCATTTAGACCAATCGCACGCGAGCGAAAATATTTTGATGGATTATAACGACACAGTTATTGACATTTGCGTTGGTGTAAGGTGGCTGGTACCAGTTTTCTCGCGCGGGGAGTAGATCACCATCGTGCGTCACGCGTGAGTAACACG